AGAGAGGGAGAGTGAGGAAGATATAAAAGTAGAGGAGGAAGACATAAAAGAAGAAAAGGAAAGGGTGATGTCGGAGGATGAGATGCAGTTGGAGATTGACATGAGCCGAGGGGAAGAAGACCAAGATATACGAGATTGCGAAAGCAGGAGTAAAGAAGAAGAGAGTAAGCTTGTTTTATCTTCTTTTTTCTAATTATATTCAGAATATGAAGTGCTGTTTGAATGGAAATTTATAGACCTTTTTAAGTAGTGTCCATTTTCCATCACATAGGAAAGTAGATTCTCTTCAGCTAATACAAACTTTTTTATTTTTTATCTTAAATAGGTGATGGTGAGTTGGAAGATAGATTAGATGCAGGGCAGTCCACACCAGCAGGAGAAGCAGATCAAGTAATTGGGGAATGTAAGTCGTGTGGGATTCAGCTGCGTGACTGGAGTTCTACCCAAAGCCACCTCAGATTTCATCGTCTGTCCCACGTGCCGTATTGTATCAACTGGTCATCCTGTGTTGCACCTCAGACTAAAAGGTGATTTTCTCTCTCTCTTTCTCTCTCTTTCTCTCTCTCTCTCTCTCTTTCTCTCTCTTTCTCTCTCTTTCTCTCTCTCTCTCTCTCTCTCTCTCTCTCTCTCTCTCTCTCTCTCTCTCTCTCTCTCTCTCTCTCTCTCTCTCTCTCTTTATCTTTTGCCTTTATTTTATTTTTTTCTCTGAAACTACATTTTCTCTCTTGGCCACAATACTCTCTTGTTTGTTATTCTTGTGATCAGTGCATTCTGTTCTTATATAATTTTAAACACATTTTACATATCTCTTCTCTTCTCTTCTCTTCTGTCTTCTATCTTCTTTCTTTTCTTTCCTCTCTCTCTCACCTCTCTCCTTTCTCTTCTCTTCTCTCTCTATATATGTGTGTGTGTGTGTGTGTGGGTGGGTGTGTATATATATATATGTATGTATGTATATGTATATATATATATATATATATGTATGTACATACGTACGTATAAATGCAGGCAGGCACGCACGCACGCACGCACATACACACGCACACGCACACGCACACGCACACGCACACGCACACGCACACGCACACACACACACACACACACACACACACACACACACACACACACACACACATACATACATACATACACACATACGTACACACACACACACACACACACATACGTACACCCACCCACACACACACACACACACACACACACACACACACACACACACACACACACACACACACACACACACACACACACACACACACACACTGATTAAGAATATGCCATGGGTTTTCCTCACATCACACTTTTTCTTAAGCCATTAGAGGCTGGAATAGATTTGCTTGCATGGCTACTGGATAGGCATTTGTTCTTGGCATGCAGGGCTCCAGACAGATTTTATATTGGGGCAAGCAACGGAAATACGGTGTGTCATGGATTAACTCATTCTCTTTATTTTGTTTATTTTTTATTTATTTATATTTTCTAAAGGTTTGTACAGGCTTCACCAGTGTTGTAATAGAGTGACAGTGTAAGATTGAGTTCACATAGGCATTATTATGTTATTTACATTTAATGTGACATAATTGGGAGAAAAAAAACTTTAACTTGTCTTCAAATTTTGATAAGAAAGCATCAAAGATTTTAAAGAATGAGAAGTGATGGGGAGGAAGATAGTGACTATCGCATACAATTGAGAGTGCTATAGTTTAAAGAAGTTGCTTCACATGGTTGTCCAACCATGTTGTTCCAAAGTGAAGCTCAGAGTTGGAAATGCTGCTGTTTAGGCAATTGTTCATTCTGTTCTATAGGTACTCATCTATGTCACTCATAAACAGTAAAAGCCACTAGATGGAGAAGGGGAGTTTGAGGTGGAACTGATCTCATTATAGCAGGAGCAGGAAAACTTGTTCAGGGAATGAAGTAGGGAGAATTAATTTTCAGAGTACATTATAGTTATTTATACAAAACTAGGGCAGTCTCAAATGGTCACTCAGTCAGAACAACACACTGCATGGCTCCTGTTGTAACCAGTGCCCTCAAATGCTGATTGTAATACTTATCATTTATTATTAATGACTACATTATTCTTACACTTTATTAGGCTTGGCATGATTGTACTGCCTTCCAAACAATTTAAATGATGTTAAAACTGCAAAGTGATATTTAACAAAGTTATTTGACAAAAATAGGCTATAGACTTTCTTTGTCTATGAAAAAGTTAGCAGAATGTCTAGCTCCCCACAAATTATGGTTAGGTTGGCAAAAAGGGTGATAATCCATGACCCGAGTCTGGTTTTAGACTAAGATGAGGCTAGTGAAACCCTGGCTTTAACTCAATGCCTGCAGGTTTATATACGGTCTCCTGTAGCTTCCTGTGAATTGTGTTACACACTGATGGCTCCATGTGTGCTCAGCCACCAAGGAATTTATCAGTAGCCCCAGTGACTGCACCAAATTTCTCCATTCCTTGAATTTGCAGGAA